GCTGTGCCGAGCCCGGGGGAGCGGCCGCTCGGCCCCGCAAGCTGCGCCCGGCTCGGGCTGAGGGCGGGGGGCTCTCCGGGGGCCCCCGCAGCTGCAGCCGGGCCGGGGGGGCCCTGCGGGGCCGCTGCGGGCGAGAACCGGGCCGGGAACGGGCGGGGGAGCTTCGCGTGTCCCCAGAAAAGGGGATTTAGGGACGGGGATGCGCCGAGCGGGGTGGAACGGCCTGGGATGGACCGGCCCGGACTGGATTTACCTGGGGGGGCTCGGCCTGCCCCGCTCCGGGGGAGCTGGGGGGACACGCGACAGCAGCGTGTCACCCAGCCGCGTGTGCGGAGGGACACAAACGGGGCTGTGACACCAACGGGGGCTGACAGAAACTGGGGCTGTGACAAAAACTGGGGACTGGGACACAAACGGGGGCTGTGACAAAAACTGGGGGCTGTGACAAAAACTGGGGACTGGGACACAAACCCCAGGCTGTGACACAAACCCCGGGCTGTGAAAAAAAACCCGGGATGGGACACAAACCCCGGGCTGGGACACGAACCATGGGGGCTGTGACACAAATTGGGGGCTGTGACACAAACTGGGGGCTGGGACACAAACCCCGGGATGAGACACAAACCCCGGGCTGGGACACAAACCCCGGGCTGGGACACCCCTGGGACATCCCCCCGCACCCACAGCTCCGTGCCGGGCACCCCCTCGCACCCCCCGGTGGCATCGGAACCCCTGCCCAGCGATGCCCTGGGAGCCCCGGGCTGAGGGCAGCGGCCGCTGCCGCCGGGCCGAGGGTCCAGCTGTGCCCCCGGCCCCCCCCGGCTGGCCGCTGGCCAAGCCCCGCTCGGTGCCAGCCCCCCCGGGCACGCGTGCGCCCGCCAGCCGGGGCAGCGCCCTCCCAGCAGCCCCGGCCGTGCCAGCAGGGCAGGAGCCGTGCCAGGCCCGCGCTGCCAGGGCACAGCTGGCCCCCAGCTGGCGCGGGAGGGGGCACGGAGCACCCGGGGGTGGCGGTGTCCCCATGTCCCCGCAGGACACCGGGGCGGGGGGAACTGCTGAGGAACTGAGGATGGGAGAGCTCACAGTACCCAGCCGGGGGGTCGTGGGGAGGGTCCCCTGTCCCCTCTGGGGGTCCTTGGGCACCCCACAGCCCCCCCAGGGGTGCCACAAGTGGGGGGGCATGGGGCAGGTGGGGTCGGGGGGCAGCTTCTCCCAAAGGGGGAATTCTTGGGAGGGGCGTTGGGGGGTCCAGCCTGTCCCGTGGAGGGGACACTGACCCATGGAGGGGACAGTGACACATGGAGGGAAACCCTGACCCAGGGAGGGGACACTGACCCATGGAGGGGACATCCTGACCCATGGAGGGGACACTGACCCATGGAGGGGACACTCTGACCTATGGAGGGGACAGTGACACATGGAAGGAAACCCTGACCCATGGAGGGGACACTGACCCATGGAGGGGACATCCTGACCCATGGAGGGGACAGTGACACATGGAAGGAAACCCTGACCCATGGAGGGGACACTGACCCATGGAGGGGACACTGATCCATGGGGGGACTCCCTGTCCCATGGAGGGGACTCCCTGTCCCCCTCGCCCCGTTTGGGACCAGCCCCAGCCCCGGGGGTCTTGGCTCGGGGTCGCCCTGGTTTCCCTGGCAGGGTGGGGCTGCCCAGGGCTGGATAATTGCTAAGCCCCCCTAAAGCCCGGCTTTCAGGGCTGTAATTCTGATATTTGTCTGTAATCTGATAACACCGCCGGCCACGAGCTCCTAATGTGCCCGGCTCGGGAAACCGCGCGGATTTTCCCACTAAGCCGGGATATCGGGCTCTGGGGTCTTCACTTAATCGTCTTTTCCCCGTGGGGACGGCGGATTTTGGCAAACGAACTTTTCCTGCTGATTGGAGCTCCTGGGCAGAGGATCCGCCGCGGTGCCGGGAGGAGGGAGGGGGCGGCGCTCTGGGGAAGCAGGGGTTAAACGGGGTCGTGCAAGGCTGCGAGCCCCAGGTGCAAAGCCCCTGTCACTGCCACCCTGGGGGGCTCGCGAGCGGCTCCTTCTCCCCATCAGCACCAGGAGCTGCTCCTGGATGAGGATGGGAGGGTGGGGGGCTCCAGTGTGGGGTGTCCCATTCCTGCGGCATCATCAGTCTGTCTGTCCATCCATGGATTCCATCCATCCATCCATCCATCCATCCATCCATCCATGTGTCTATCTGTCCCATCAGGGCTGTTCTCCCCATCCCGGGAGATCCCCGGCCCTGGGATACACCGGGAATCCCATCCTTGGGATGCACCGGGAATCCCATCCTTGGGATGCACCGGGAATCCCATCCAGCCCCATCCTTGGGATACACCGGGAATCCCACCCAGCCCCATCCTTGGGATACACCGGGAATCCCATCCTTGGGATGCACCGGGAATCCCATCCAGCCCCATCCTTGGGATGCACCGGGAATCCCATCCAGCCCCATCCTTGGGATGCACTGGGAATCCCATCATTGGGATACACCGGGAATCCCATCCAGCCCCATCCCTGGGATGCCCCAGGAATCCCACCCAGCCCCAAACCCCGGCTGGGCCCGGGCGCTGGCGGCTGCCAAGGCAAATTCCCCAAACCCGCGGGCTTTGGGTGTTTTTCCTGCTCTAATGCGAGTTCAGGAAGCTCCGGCTTAATCCGCGCCAGATAAACCAACAGC